CGAAACAAGGGACATCATGCACCTACGTCTGAGGCTCACTCCAAAAGTTTCAAGACTGAAGCCTTGCAAATTTGTCAGCTTGTAGGCCTATTCATGCGCTACATCACCAAGGTATAATTTGTCAAAATCCATCCATGTTAAGGTACCTTAAGACCGCGACTCGTGAGAGCCTTGTCGGCTGGCGCTGACAGCCCTTCCTATGGAACTTACTGCACAAAAAACGAAACAAGGGCATCATGCACCTACGTCTGAGGCTCACTCCAAAAGTTTCAAGACTGAAGCCTTGCAAATTGTCAGCTTGTAGGCCTATTCATGCGCTATCCACCAAGGTATAATTTGTCAAAATCCATCCATGTTAAGGTACCTTTAGAACGCGACTCATGAGAGCCATGTCGGCTGGCGCTGACATCCTTGCTACGGGACTTACTGCACAAAAACGAAACTGGGCGCATAATGCACGTACGTCTGAGGCTCACTCCAAGAGTTTCAAGTCTGAAGCCTTGCAAATTTGTCAGCTTGTAGGCTATCCACGAAGGTATAGTTTGTCCAAATCCATCCATGTTAAGGTACCTTAAGACCGCGACTCGTGAGAGCCTTGTCGGCTGGCGCTGACAGCCCTTCCTATGGAACTTACTGCACAAAAACGAAACAAGGGCATCATGCACCTACGTCTGAGGCTCACTCCAAAAGTTTCAAGACTGAAGCCTTGCAAATTTGTCAGCTTGTAGGCCTATTCATGCGCTATCCACCAAGGTATAATTTGTCAAAATCCATCCATGTTAAGGTACCTTTAGACCGCGACTCATGAGAGCCATGTCGGCTGGCGCTTACAGCACTTGCTATGGGACTTACTGCACAAAAACGAAACTGGGCGGATCATGCACCTACGTCTGGGGCTCACTCTAAAAGTTTCAAGTCTGAAGCCTTGCAAATTTGTCAGCTTGTAGGCCTATTCATCCGCTATCACGAAGGTATAGTTTGTCCAAATCCATCTATGTGAAGGTACATTAAGACCCGACTCATGAGAGCCATGTCGGCTGGCGCTGACAGCCTTGCTATGGGACTTACTGCAAAAAAAAACGAAACTGGGGGCATCATGCACCTACGTCTGGGGCTCACTCTGAAAGTTTCGAGTCTGAAGCCTTGCAAATTTGTCAGCTTGTAGGCCTATTCATCCACTATCCACCAAGGTATACGTTTGTCAAAAATCCATCAATGTGAAGGTACCTTAGACCGCGACTCTTTATGAGAGCCATGTCGGCTGGCGCTGACAGCCCTTGCTATGGGACTTACTGCAAAAAAATCGAAACTGGGGGCATCATGCACCTACGTCTGGGGCTCACTCTAAAAGTTTCGAGTCTGAAGCCTTGCAAATTTGTCAGCTTGTAGGCCTATTCATGTGCTATCCAACAAGCTAAAGTTTGTCAAAATCCATCCATGTAAGGTACCTTTAGACCGCGACTCATGAGAGCCATGTCGGCTGGCGCTGACAGCCCTTGCGATGGGACTTACTGCACAAAAACGAAACTGGGCGGATCATGCACCTTCGTCTGGGGCTCAATCTAAAAGTTTCAAGTCTGAAGCCTTGCAAATTTGTCAGCTTGTAGGCCTATCATCCGCTATCCACGAAAGGTATAGTTTGTCAAAATCCATCTATGTGAAGGTACCTTAAGACCGCGACTCATGAGAGCCATGTCGGCTGGCGCTGACAGCCCCTGCTATGGGACTATATTATGAACAAAAACGAAACAAGGGCATCATGCACCTACGTCTGGGGATCACTCCAAAAATTTCAAGACTGAAGCCTTGCAAATTTGTCAGCTTGTAGGCCTATTCATCCGCAATCCACCAAGGTATAGTTTGTCAAAATCCATCCATGTTAAAGGTACTTTAGACCGCGACTCATGAGAGCCCTGTCGGCTGGCGCTGACAGCCTTGCTACGGGACTTACTGCACAAAAACGAAAACTGGGCGCATCATGCACCTACGTGGGGGGCTCACTCCAGAGTTTCAAGTCTGAAGCCTTGCTAACTTGTCAGCTTGTAGGCCAATTCATGTGCTATCCACCAAGGTATAGTTTGTCAAAATCCATCCATGTTAAGGTACCTTAAGACCGCGACTCATGAGAGCCATGTCGGCTGGCGCTTTCAGCCCTTGCTATGGGACTTACTGCACAAAAACGAAACAAGGGCATCATGCACCTACGTCTGGGGCTCACTCCAAAAGTTTCAAGACTGAAGCCTTGCAAATTTGTCAGCTTGTAGACCTATTCATGCGCTATCCACCAAGTTATAGTTTGTCAAAATCCATCCATGTTAAGGTACCTTTAGACCGCGACTCATGAGAGCCATGTCGGCTGGCGCTGACAGCCCTTGCTATGGGACCTACTGCACAAAAACGAAACAAGGGCATCATGCACGCTACGTCTGGGGCTCACTCCAAAAGTTTCAAGACTGAAGCCTTGCAAATTTCTCAGCTTGTAGATCTATTCATGCGCTATCCACCAAGGTATAATTTGTCAAAATCCATCCATGTTAAGGTACCTTTAGACCGCGACTCATGAGAGCCATGTCGGCTGGCGCTTACAGCACTTGCTATGGGACTTACTGCACAAAAACGAAACTGGGCGGATCATGCACCTACGTCTGGGGCTCACTCTAAAAGTTTCAAGTCTGAAGCCTTGCAAATTTGTCAGCTTGTAGGCCTATTCATCCGCTATCCACCAAGGTATAATTTGTCAAAATCCATCCATGTTAAGGTACTTTAGAACGCGACTCATGAGAGCCATGTCGGCTGGCGCTGACAGCCTTGTTACGGGACTTACTGCACAAAAAAACGAAACTGGGCGCATAATGCACGTACGTCTGAGGCTCACTCCAAGAGTTTCAAGTCTGAAGCCTTGCAAATTTGTCAGCTTGTAGGCCTATTCATGTGCTATCCAACAAGCTAAAGTTTGTCAAAATCCAACCATGTTAAGGTACCTTTAGACCGCGACTCATGAGAGCCATGTCGGCTGGCGCTGACAGCCCTTGCGATGGGACTTACTGCACACAAAAACGAAACTGGGCGGATCATGCACCTTCGTCTGGGGCTCAATCTAAAAGTTTCAGATTTGAAGCCTTGCAAATTTGTCAGCTTGTAGGCCTATTCATCCGCTATCCACGAAGGTATAGTTTGTCAAAATCCATCTATGTGAAGTACCTTAAGACCGCGACTCATGAGAGCCATGTCGGCTGGCGCTGACAGCCCCTGCTATGGGACTTATGAACAAAAACGAAACAACGGCATCATGCACCTACGTTTGGGGATCACTCCAAAAATTTCAAGACTGAAGCCTTGCAAATTGTCAGCTTTGTAGGCCTATTCATCCGCTATCCACCAAGGTATAGTTTGTCAAAATCCATCCATGTTAAGGTACCTTTAGACCGCGATCATGAGAGCCCTGTCGGCTGGCCGCTGACAGCCCTTGCTACGGGACTTACTGCACAAAACGAAACTGGGCGCATCATGCACCTACGTCTGGGGGCTCACTCCAAGAGTTTCAAGTCTGAAGCCTTGCTAAATTTGTCAGCTTGTAGGCCAATTCATGTGCTATCCACCAAGGAGTATAGTTTGTCAAAATCCATCCATGTTAAGGTACCTTAAGACCGCGACTCATGAGAGCCATGTCGGCTGGCGCCTGACAGCCCTTGCTATGGGACTTACTGCACAAAAAACGAAAAAAGGGCATCATGCACGTACGTCTGGGGCTCACTCCAAAAGTTTCATAACTGAAGCCTTGCAAATTTGTCAGCTTGTAGAGCTTATTCATGCGCTATCACCAAGTTATAGTTTGTCAAAATCCATCCATGTTAAGGTACCTTTAGACCGCGACTCATGAGTGCCATGTCGGCTGGCGCTGACAGCCCTTGCTATGGGGACTTACTGCACAAAAACGAAACGGGGGCATCATGCACATACGTCTGGGGCTCACTCTAAAAGTTTCGAGTCTGAAGCCTTGCAAATTTGTAAGCTTGTAGGCC